ATATTTTTTTAAATAACAAAAGAGTTTCCTAAGAGAACACAAATTTTCAGGGTATACTGCATGCACGGTACAAGAAAGGAAAACAAAAATCTATATTTAAATATATCGTTATATTTCACATTAAGTATAAAAAGATTTCAGAAACTTCCAAAGAAAGTTTACCTACAAAGGAACAAAAATCAGATTACATATCAACACTGTGTGCTCAAAGATAATGAAACGATGTCTCAACATTTCTGAGGCAGAAGTTTTTTTCACAAAAATCTTAAAACCAGCTAAAATACCAAACCCATCCTGAATGAGAGTTATTTCAAACATGCAAGGACTCCACAACCACACACCCTGGGAAGTTTCTCGAGGAGGTTCCTCAGCTATGCAAATGCGTGAAGGAACCCTGGAACCTGAGAATCACAAGGGAAGGGAAGCCCCAGACAAGAGCTCTGAGGTAGGTTAAGCAAGCAATCAATCCAGTTAGAAGAGGAGGAAGAGAAGAGGACGCTTTTGCCGAAAAGAGGAGAGCAAGGCATAGGATGGAAGGTATGATTCGGAACTTAGAAAACCTGCGACTATTGTAAAGGTGACTGGCAGAAAAGGAACATTTTAGCCAGGCATGGTGGCGCATGCCTGTAGGGACGCTGAGGTAGGAGGACTACCACAAGTTCTAAAGCAGCCTGGGCTACAAAGTGAGTTCAAAGTCTGCCTAAACTACACAGTGAGACCCTATCTAAAAAAGAAAAAAACACCTTCACCAGAGGATACTGGCCATGACGCTGGGCACTGGAGAAAAGACTATAATCCTAGCCTAGAATTTCTCAAAACTTTTGGTCTCAGATCTTTTAACCTCTTAAACATTACACAGAACCCCAAACAGCTGTCATTTATATACTGACCAATATTTACTAATTAGAAAGACAGAATTTTAAAAATATGTATTCACTTTAAAATAGCCAACACATTACAATTAGCATAGTTATTATTCATAAGAAATATTTTACAAAGCAAAATACTGGTAGTACTGTTTTACATTTTTTTGCAAACCTCTTTAAAATCTGGATTAAAAGACAACTGGATTTGTGGATCTGTTTCTATATTTACTATGATACACTGTTTGGATCGATGCATATGAAGAAAAGCTGGCCTCACATAAACATGAAGCTAGAAAATAGTTGGAATATTTAAAAGCCCTCTCAGATACTGTGTATTTTTTCTTCCTTAATTCTACACCAAAATTTAGCAAGTGTTAGCACCTTAACTGCTAGCTGCAGTGTGAAATCTGACACAATCTCAAATGATCTTTTCATACTTTTCATTTAGGCAGTACTGAGGATTGAACCCAGACAGTCCTGAGCTACGTATCCAGCCCTTTTCATTATTTTCTTTTTAAATTTTGAGATTAGGTCTTGCTAAATGCCCAGACTTGCCTCAAAGTTGCAATCCTCCTGCCTTACCTTCCCAGCTAGCTGGGACTGCAGGCTTCTGCCACCATCCCCACCTGTCCTACCTTTTATCCTAAAATCTATGGGCCTATTCTGGTGGATTGACTGGTACTGAAGACTGAACCCAGGGTCTTCACACTTAAAATTATACTTTTATTTTGAGACATGGTCTTGCTAAATTGCTTATTTGCCTATGGTAGGCTCCAACTTGTGATCTCCCTGCCTGAGCCTTGAGCACTGGGATTACAGACATGCACCACCACACTGGCTTTATACCGTACTTTAAATGACTTTATACCTGTGTGTGATTTTGTAAAATTTCTGCCACTTATTTGGAAAATATACTTTCTCTGAGTTGGGCAGACTTCCCAATGTTGACATTATTTCAAAATTGTTTAAAAATGATATTAAAATTACCACTAGCCAGGTATGGTGGCACACACAAGTAATCTCAGCACTCAGGAGGCTGAGGCAGGAGGATCACTGTGAGTTCAAGGCCAGCCTGCACTACATACTTCATGTATTTTGACTAGAATTAAATACATTTCAATTTCATAAAGAAATCACATTATTTTCTGTAGGATTTGGGAGTGTAAGATGGGCAGTTTAAATGTTACCCACTTAGCCAGAGAAGACAGTAACTTTAGTTCACCTTTAATGCTACATCTGAGCCACCAGCAGAACACCTGGGGGGCTCCCAACACACGGCTGCACAGTGGGGTGCTAGCCATCAAAGCCACTGCTCCTCCTCCACCCACTGCACGGGAAGTCTCAGAGAGTCGCTCAGCATCCTGCACCCCACACCATTCAGCCACTCCACCTGCGCCCTAGCCGTACCTCTCTACCCAAGCGGCTCTTCCCAGGACTCCTGAGACACCAAGCATGCCGCCCTCCTCTTCCAGACCCCGATCACGTGGCCCGGGAACATGACAGCTCTCTTCCTGAAAGCTCTTCTCCTCCTTGGCCTGTGACGCCAGTACTCTTCTGTGTGATTTTCTCACCTCTGTGCCCTTCCAGCTCCACCTCTCTCCTGGCTCCTCCTACTGCAGCTGGGTCCTGGGACTCCCTTGCTTATCCACTCTCTCTCCTGGGATGATCCTTTCCTCTCTCACAAGTGACAGTATCATTCTGCCTCAGTGACTCCCAAGTATTTCCCTCTCCCCTAAGCTTCTGGGTCCACTAGACACCTCTCCCCAAATTATCGCACAATCTCAAACTAACTCAGCCCTTCCGCCAGGATGCTTCATTCTTCCCCACCTCAGGCCACACCTCCCTAAGGCATTTGCCTCAAGGAAATGCCATCACCGCCCAACCAGGTCTTCCCGCCAAGAGCTAGGACTCTGTAATCCACAGCGGCTAATGGCATATCCTCTGCCTACTGGGTTAAAATATAACTCTGCTATTTATACTTGGTAACCGTATCATCTTGGGCAAGTTAGGGCTCTTACAAAAATTATACACCTTCAACTAGGGTAGAGGGCACACACCTATAATCCCAACATTCTGGGAAACTGAGGCAGGAAGATGCAAGCTGAGTCTTGCCTGGGGAATTTAGAGAGATCCGATCTCAAAATAAAAAACAGAAAAGGGGCTTGGGATACAGTTCAGGGCAAAAGCCCTGAGTTCATACCCCAGTACCCCACTAAAAAAATTACATACCTTAAATTTAGCAAAGCACACAGCACAGTAAAATCTAATTGCCACACACGGACCTACAATGATTGTCATTCTTCTTTTTTTTTTTTTTTTTTTAATGATTGTCATTCTTAACTCTTGGTTTTTTTGTTTTTTTTTTTGGTAGCAGGAGTTGAACGCAGGACCTCGTGCTTACCAGGCAGGCGCTTGTACCCCGGCCCAACTCATTTCTAACCCACCAGTCATCTGTCATCAGTTCCAGAATCACAACAGCCCGCTTCTGTCCACTCCTCTCCTGCCCGCCACTGCTGCCCCTCCAAGCCACTCTGCTCTCCTACTCCTCTCCAGCGGCCTCAGTGTCCCCTTCCGTTCTCAGAACCCCACTCCACAGCAGCCAGCACGAGCCTTCAAACTACTCCGCGCAGTTACAGAAGCCGCTCCTGGAACCCTCCAGGCTTCTCTCTTTGCACCTCAGTGTAAAACCGGAAGTCCTTTCCTCAGTCGAGTGCCTCTCATTAGTAGTCACAGCCCCAGGCACCCAGGAGCATCTCTGCGGAGCTTTAAGGGTCACCCAGGCTTCGGCTCTACACAGTACATTGGTCAAAAATTTAGAAGTGCCCCAGGTAACTTTTTTCCTTCGATTCTTGGGATTGAACCCTAGGCCTTTGCACTGAGCTACATACCAGCCCTTTATATTTCGAAACATTTCTTGCCCAGTTGCTCAACTGCCCAGGCTGGGCTTGAACTTGCAATCTTCCTGTCTCAGCCTCCCAGAGCTCTGGGGTTAGCGGGCATGTCTGGCTCCACCAGGTAATTTTCCCATTCAGCCAGGACAGAAAAGCATGGCTCCAGGAAAGCACCTGACCTCTGCCTGTTTCTCCAGCTGTTCTCCCCCATTCAAGCTACACACCCGTTAACTGCCTTCTTCCTTTTCCTTTCCTTATGAATGGATTTGCGCCTCTGGGACTTTGCACAAGGTCCTCTTTCACCTGGAAAGCAATGTCTCCTAGCTGGGGCTCAGCCTTTTCTTAAACATTAGCTCCTTAATGAGACCCTGTCTGACATCCATTTGAAAACATCACCAGAGACCACTTTGCTTTACTTTTATTAAAACATTTCAAGGGGCCAGGGATACAGCTCAGTGGTACAGTGCTTGCCTGGCAAGCACGAGGTCCTGAGTTCAATTCCCAGTACCAAAAAATCATTTCAATGTGCGCGCGCGCGTGTGTGTCTGTGTATGTGTATGTGACATCTTGCTTTCCCCAGGAAAATATAAGCTCCAGGAGACATTAGTGAGTTGTTTATTGCTACACTTTTAGGATACAGATCAAACGAATAGTAAGTATTCCAGAACTACAGATTAATGAGGAAGCAAATAGGTGTGTTTAAACTAGCTGTCCACAGTTGTCTTCCATAGTTTCAGAATGACTTTTACTTCCTTTTGCTTTATGTACCATTGCCCAGAAGGCTAATGGCCTCTAACATCTCAACTCGATCTACAGCAAACCTCACCCCACAGATAATCACAGCCCCTTAAGGTAACCACATAATTGTACAACCTTTACCTTTGTCTTTCCTCTAAACTTTTACAAGAATTGCTGACAAATTCAAGTGGATAGAATAAAATACTGAATTGTTTCCTCCCCAAGATTGTGGCAGACTGGTTAACAAAGAAAAAAGTAAATCCTGAGGGCTAGGAGACAAGGGAAAAAAAATGTATGTACTAGGTAACCACACTCCGACTGGGAAGGAGTTTCCCATCTGAAGCTTTACACTCTGGGCACTGAGCTGAACACAGAATGCTTCCCACATACACAAAAACAAAACTTCTTCAAGGCTCATAAGACATCTTACCCCTGCACCCACCCCTTCCTGCTATCGGAGGGCGTGTGACAGCATCTCACAGCGGATGTAGAGGGACCGGGTTACCTTTGGGATCTCTCCTTTAACTCCCGGGGGCAGCCGCAGGATCCAGAAGTTCCGGTTGCGCAGCAGGTTCTCCAGGTTTTCCAGCCGCCGCTGCAGCAGCCCGTACTCCTGCAGCAGCGTCCCCAGCACGGCCCACTTGCCCTCCAGCTGGTTGCTGAGCTCGGTCACTGTCTTCTCACAGCTGGCCAGCTTCTTCTCGGCCGTCCCTGTCCTGCCTTCCAGGTGCAGGAGCCGTCGGCTGTGGACGTCCACCTTCCTCTCTATGGCCTGCACAGCAGCCACCACCGTCCACAGGGAGATGGCTGCGGTCTGCAGATGCGCGTCACTGGCCGCTGGGGGTGGTGGCAGCTGCAAGGGCTGCAGGGATGTAAGGCACTCAGAGTCCCATTCAGCCGTCTGTACGCAAGGGACACATAAGACAAGACACAGTGTTAGGAGGAACCCTTGGTCCAGCCTGCAGTCAGGTGAGGACTGTGTAGCTGACTGGCTGAGATGAATGTAAGTGTAGTTTTGGTAAGGCTTACAGTGCTTGTGTCAGTCTCATCATTCTAGAGCTCCCAGGCAACCAAAACTAAGAGGACAGTTGTGGTAGTTCAGCCGTGGATTTAGAAAGAAAGCGAATGAATGAAACTGGCTTTTAAGAAGCGGTCTGGCACACTTCCTCCGGTAAAGGCCTAGAAGTTCCTGGGGTTGCCACTGCCTCCTCTATCTCTGAAAAAGGCGTAAGTACACAGGAGCTTTTCCAGGTTTCACTGAGCTCAGTGCCCTCCGACTTATAATCTTTATAAACTTATGCTCAGAGCCAGGTGGTGGCACACACTGCAATCCCAGCTCTTGGAAGGCTGAGACAGGAGAATTACATGCATTAAAGGCCACCTGAGGCTCCATAGTGAGTTCAAGGCCAGTCTGGGCTGCACACTGAGACTCTTTCTCAAAAAAACAACAACAAATAAGGAGGAGGAGAAACAGCAGAGAGAGAAGAAGAAACAAACGCATGCCCTGGCCCTGACCACCCCCCTGTTCACATATAACCACACCAGTTGCATTAAGTTGAACAAGCTGACGGTGTTGAGTCTAGAGAAAACATGACTGTTTTCAAATATTTGAGAGTCAGAAAACAGAACAGACTTGTTTAACCTTCTATTGTAGCACTCCAAAGGGCAGATTAGAACCAACACATGAAAATCTCCTACAATAAATCAACTACTTCTTTCCAACCAAATAGTAAGTTGTTCTATCACTGAACATACTTTGAAGTGAAGGATGGTATAAAAGGAAAAAATTCCTACAGTACATAGGAGGTTGGACTACGATGACCTCTAGAAAGCCTTCTACCTCTGAGCCTAATAATCCACACTCTCTGGTCACAGCTCCTCTTCCCAGCTCAGGCACCACCTCGTCCTCGCCCGGTCTACAATTCCATTAGTACGAGCTCCAGCCTTCTGAAGATCCCATTTGCTCCTGGGTTATCTGCCTGGCCTGGGCTTTGCTTTCTTCTCTGCCATTTCCTCTCTCGCTCAGCCAATCCCCGGCCCTGAATCAGCCTGGTCCCGCGCTCAGGCCCAGTCTCAGTCTGGTACACTGGCCCCAAGCCTTGCTGCTGTGAACCACACAACAGCTGGGATGCCCGCCCACACTGCAGAGGACTCCGGCTTGAGGAGGACCTCCACGCCGTGCGGTGCCCCCGGCTTCTTTTCTCATCCCATAAAGTGGCTACTACAAACCCTTAAAAATTGGGCGTAAGAATCACATGCAGAGCTAGTTAAAATAGGAATTTTGAGCCAAAAGTCTGGGAGAAAAAAGGGGAGTCCGATTCACACCCACCCAACTCTTCTTCATGTTCCTTCCCATCCCAAATTCATCAGTAACTTAACACAGGAGGTCTTCTTCCCTTCCCAAGGGAAAAAAGCTGCATTTTCCACTTCTGCTCTGAACGCCAACCCTTCCACCTTTTTAGGTACTTTGTTTTATCATCAGTATTTTCACTTCTACCATTCTTCTCCATAAAATGCAATTTCTCTGATCTGCACCACAGCCACTGTCTACATGTGGCCTCTGAGCACCTGAGACGCCCTCAGTTCCACCGAGATGTGACCCGAGTATAAAATACACAGTGGATTTCAAAATCTCAGTGCGTAAAATGCTGCACAATCTCATTGCTAATTTTTTAATGTTGATTACTACTGAAATAACATTTTGCAAACCTCGAGTGAAACAAAATACAGCATTAAAATTAATTCCATCCACTTCTTTCTCTTTTAAACAGAACTACCAGAGAATTTAAAGATATGTATGCAGCTTTCATCAAACTTTTACTGGACCCCAGCACGGTGGCGCAAGCCAGTAATTCCAGCCCTCGGGAGGCTGAGGCAGGAGGATCATTGCGAATTCGAGGCCGGTCTGGCTACAAAGTGAGAGTTCAAGGCCAGCCTACAACATAGTGAGACCCTGTCTCAAAAGACAAAAAACATTAAAAATTTCTGCTGGATATATACACGATCATCTTAACCAGAGTAATTTTTTTCTTTTTTAAATGAAAAAGTCCCATTTTCCTCCTCTTTCTCCCTTTTCTCAATTTCCAGCCGTGCCTTAGTGGTTCCCGGAGGGGTCCACGGCTTCTCGGGGGCGGACCCGCCCGCGTCCGGACCTGCCCAGGGCGCGCGCGGGGCCCACGCAGGCCAGCGGCACCGAGCGCACGC